AAACAGGTTCAGGAGATGGTCCCAGAACTCTAAACATATAAACGAATATTTAGAAAGTTTGAAGGCTTACAGCCAGTGGAGTTTGTAGCAGAAGAATGGTGGTGCTTTTTCATTGGCATCTTCTAGCTGCTCCCTCTGAGAGGCCATCTTGGGCTTGATACAGCCTGTGAAGGATCAGAGAAGCGCTCCCACTGCAGAGGTCTGCAATCACCAATCCTTGGTGTTAAAGGTGTGGAGATTCTTCTTTTATTTTTTTTTCTCTCTCTGTTCATTGGTCTCTTGCAGTTGGCACACCTCCATTCTCGTGACTAGAGGAGGAGCCTGAGTGAGTGACCATCCCCCAGAGGGTTCTACTACGCATGTGCACGGATCTGCTCAGCAAAAACCACTAAGAAGGGTCCTTGCTTAAAATGGCTACAGCTGGCCCTGATCTGTTTATCACTAGGAAAAAGGCTGGAACAGGGGTTGTGAAAGGGGAGAGGAACAGATTAAAAAGGAAACAGGTTGAAAATTAAATCCTGACTGTGTCATAAGGAGTAACAGTAACATCTTGAAATTTCTCAGGCAACCTTGAAGACAAGAGGCCAAAATCATACTCACATTTTGCTACAATTTTTTTTTTTCTTTTCTGCAATTATAGACTATAGTATCCAATCTGTTTTTTGTTTTCTTTTTTTGCTGTTGCTCATTGGAATACCTAAAAGGGGTTCTAGAACTTGCCCAGTGAAATAGGCTTCTTGCAGAGACTTTGTAGTGTATATGACTCTAGGTGGAAACCTGAGCTCCATCCAGAACCTTCTGAGGTCAGGCATTACTACTTGAAAGGACAAACAGACCAGCCTGGAACAGCTAGAGGAATAGAAGATACTTCTAGAAAGAAAGACCAGGAAGAAAAATCCAAACAAAAAATGGCAGTCTGACTGGCTACTACAAGAATAAGCAAGTTGTTCTCTGGGGAGTCATCAAGGCAAGCAATCAAGTCCTTTAAGAACAAATGCTCCTCCAAGACTGAAACTCAAAGGGAACACGTGAGCAGGCACGTAAGATTGCTGGTGACCATGTTGGTCTACTGGTGAGTGGAAGAGGGGGAAAGACAGCAATAAAGAAATGGGCTGAGTTCAACCATGTTCCATAGACTTCCGTCGACCTGGAGATGAGAGAGATAAGAGGAAGGGGTGGTTGGTCCGAAGTGGTGAAACCTGGGGACTCCTGAGCCCATGGAGAAGGACATAGCCACAGAGGGCTAGAGTTGAGAGTGAAGCATCCAGCTGATATGAAGTGAGGGGAGAAGCACAAGAATGCCCAAACTTGTAGATAGTACCCATTCAACCTAGCCTTTGGCATGATAGCCAGATCTTGACTAGAGGAAGATTAAAAAATATATTTTTTTGGATAAAGATAACAAGTGTATAATGCTACAGTTTGATTAACTTGATCTATAGTTATGGATATGGTTGTTGTTAAGTACCATGGAGTCACTTATGGATATAGTAGCTCAAAATACCAGCTGAGAGGGAAGAAGTCTTCACACCAAGTATCAATCCTATCCCCTCTTGTATACAGGGTTGATAGAGATGGGCAACTTAGACACTGTATACCTAAAATGGGCAGGGGGGCGCTATAAAGGCACGAAGTGACTGATTTACAAGTTTCAAGAGAGAGATTAGTTTCAGAGAGTGTGGGGGAAGGTACAGTCCCCACTGAAAAGTTTTCAGCTTGTCTAGACAAATCTGGTGAAAGGAGATGGGGATAAGATTCTAATGATTCAATAGTGAATAACTGTTACCATGACTAATTGCAACTGTCACAACTGTAAAGGTAGAAGTTCTGTAACAAAAAGGGGGAGTTGTTAACCTTACAGTCCAGAAAAAAAGGGACCCTAGGACTATCAAGGGAGAAAAGCACGAGTGGAATGTAGGACCCTGTCCTGAGAAGTAGCAACACTAGAGATGGAGGCAGAGATGAGGACATGGAGAGAAAGAGCACAGGAAAACTCTACACTCAAGGAAAGAGAAAGGCTGTGTGCTGGTGGCCAGGAGGCAGGCTTGCAGAATGTGCCCTTTGATTGTTTAAATGATTATATATTACTGAGTATTTTTGTGTACATATTCCTCCCCTTCCCCCCCCCAAAAAAAAAAACAACCCAGAGGGACTATAAGAAAACGCTGTTGAATGATGATGCGTGGAAGGGACTGCAATCACTGCAATGAAACTATGAGTGTAAAACCAATGTTCTCCCATGTAAACTATCACTCAATTCACAATAAAAACTTAAAAACAAACAAACCATTAACAGTATAAATGGGTACACAGTGAGAATTGATGGAATCTCCCCCATGCAAACCTCAGTTCTACTTCCTAGGTTTAACATTATCAGTAATTTCTGGAATTTTGCATAAAGTACATATACATATCCTTGTATAGACCAACTGTATATGTGTGTGTTTCTTGAAAGAGAAGGGTATTTATTTAATTTCTACTTTGGCTACAAGTGGTCTATATTTTTAGCTTTTATGCAAAGTGCCCTTTAAAATAATTTCCACATTCTGGACAATACCTCTTCCTGTGAAGAAGTTTTTTGCTTCTATTTTATCAATTTGATAACGGCATACTGAGACAAGATCATATTCTTATGCAACTTAGAAAGGGATACTATTCCACCCATGACCAGTGATTTTCCTTTCACCCTACAGTTTTGCCTTCCTGCTGTGCTGATGATGCATTAGCCTGAGGAAAGGTCTAGAGAAGCCTGTGTACAAGAAGAGGGCCCTCAGCTCCCCTTACAGAGAGAAAAAACTTTTCCAGTTTCTGCTGGCCAGTCATGTTCCTTCACAAGATGTGTTCTAAAGTAAATTATGTATGTGTGAACAATTCCTTGCTGTTTTCATTTAATAATGAACAGCTTCTTCCAACCCAATGTGGTCCTCAATGGATGTCATTTTGCATCATGCTTAGAACGACTTTCCCTACTTAAAAATATAAAGAAAATGTTGCCCAGGTTTTCTTCTACTTTTTTTTTAAGATTTAATCAACATAACTACTATATTGAATCTCATGGAATTTATTTGGATATAAACAGTTATGTTTTTCAAGAGACATACTTTGAATCTGATAGTGGTGCTTCCATTTATTTTTCTAATGGTTGTATTTTCAAAAGATCTGATATTTATCAGGTGAAAGTACTGCCTTCCACTTAATTGTTCCACCTAACCCCAATGTGAAGTAGAATGGGAGTGAATTTGGTAATTCATTTTATTACTCTGTTCACTGGCATCCTGAGCTCAAGAACAGAAGGGAGTTAGATTTAATAGATTAAATAGTTACAGTAACATTTCTGACTGTGCAGGCAGAGTGTGACTGGGAGAAGATTTCAAGACCTTATTCTGTGATGATTTCAATTACGTAGCATATAAGATAGAATCTTTACCAACTCTTTTATTGACAAGCATGGTGAGCGCAGAATGCAAGCCTGCAAAATGCACTGAGTGCCTTTCAGTGCTGTAGGCTAGCTGGACTAGACCTGGTCACATAATACAGGATTTGTCTGGTTCATTTCTCAGTGACTAGATTCTGTTCCTAGTCATTACCTATAAAAAAAAAACAAACAAAACAAACAACCCCAAAAATGAATGATTCTGAGCAAGCTTATTGTGCCTATTTTCAAGAGTGTCCTAGTCTTCTAATTAATATGATGTCACTCTGTCACTGCTTGCCCTCTTGCTGTGGCTCCCTCTCACAAGTCAACTTCCTAAAAATTCAGGAACCATCAGAAACAAAGGATCAGGAGGACCCTTGAGCCTACAATGAGCCAGGCTCAGTTCTATTTTACACTCTCTGCCTTGAGTTTGTGTTGACCTAAGGGACCTAAAATTTCACACCTTTATTGCAATCTTCTGTTTTAAATGTGGAAAGAAAAAAACAAAAGAAGAATGCTTTCTTTAGGTACTTTCAAGTGTGTACCATTTTATACAAAAGAAGTATCCCTGATTTGCCTCTCTTTATACCTTGTTACCTCTTGTGGGATAACAGTTTTAGACTTCCAGAACTGGTTTGCAAACAAACAAATGTACAGTTGCCCTGTGTGGGGTATTCCTAGGTTGGAAGCCAGCAGACAGCATAGTGCTTCTTTGCAGACAGATGGAGATTAATTTCTAAGCCACACAAAGGCACTGATTTTTGTAAATAATGAGCAATGTATCCCATGGAATTTGAAAAGCTGATTTCAATTTGCTTAAAATAAAAAATAAATATGAGACTAATTCAAACAAGTGCACTTACAGTTGTCAGTTTGCTGTTTAGCCAAGCTATTGGTTCTAGAGAGGTGTCTACCTAAGGAAAGCTGTATAATGGTTCTCTTCTGTTCAGTTAGGGCCAGGAACACAGTTTCATCTAAATGTAAAAAAAAAAAACTGGTGGAGCAAAGGGCTCTGCAAAACAAAAACTGTAACTGAAATTGAGAAAGATGTTACAATTCACTATAAAACAGCTCTAACTGAAACCAAGGTAGCAAGAAGAATAGTAGATGACTAGAGTAAGTGGTAGCATCAATGGGCTCAAGTGTGGCAACAATTGTGAGGTTGGCCCAGGACTGGGCAGTGTTTTGTTCTGTAGTGCATAGGGTCGCTATAAGTCAGTATCGACTTGATGACACCTAACAACAAGTGACAGTGTATAGACAGCACAGCCAGCAATTCTTTTAGGACTCAGTGATGCTGCTGATGACCTTAGGCAGTGAGATAAGAAACTTGGCCAGGATGTAACAGGGCTACAGGGTTGAGAATGAGTGCTTCACAGAAGGTATTGAGAGGTACCATGGTGGGGTCTCACTATCCAACTTAGGGTGTCCACTATTTTCAGGGTTAACCTTATATACCTATCCCCTCTTATCTGAAATACTGTCAGGAACCTTACCACTGACAGAAACCTAAGTAGGGGAAGAAAGTTCATGTTCACTGCTCACCAGTGCCCTCTGCTGATAACCTCAAGCATGAGGCACTTACATGTCTTGGCCTCAGTCTTCAAAGAATCCAAAATAGATTGACTTCGTGAACTGAGATGTTCTTCAGATTTTTCTACAGATGTCTGCAGCTAAGAAACCAAAAATTAACAAAGAATTTACAGACTGTTACCATATTTTATTAACTTAGATAAATCTCATTTAATGACTTTTTGTTGTTGTTATGCCAGTTCTGACTCAGCAACTCTGTATAGGGTTCCCAAAGAATGCTGGGTTTGGACCACCAACCTTGTGATTAGCAGTCCAGTGCTGATCTTATAGCATCACACCAGGACTCCTTAATGATTTTTAAGAGTAATTCATTTTACTATTCTACATTATTAACTAAAGTCAGTATAATTATCAAACTACCTAAATTATATGATATTCTAACTCCTTGAAATCAAGATATACTTACCCTGTGAATACTTTCTCTGACATGGGAAATAAAGTTGCACAGAGTCTCACTAGAAAAGAAAAAAAAAAGAAAGCAAATATATGAGATACTGAATAGATAACAGACCTGATTTCATGGCATCAAACAGCGCTTGATCAACATTGGAGAGACCCTGATAAGCCCCCGTGCTCAGCTGAAAAAAAGAGGATGTACTTTTCATGATCATTTCCAAGGCAAACCACTCTTCTCTTTTTTAACTCCACTATTAATCTTGTTTTTGAGTGCTGTTGAGTCAAATTTGACTCAGAGTAACCCCATGTGACACAGCTATATCATAGCTGGCTTTTTTTGTTGTTTGTTTAAAGTTCTTTTTCTTTCTTTTTTTTTTTTTAAGCTTTTATTGTGAATTTAGTGATAGTTTACATAGAAGAACATCGGTTTTGCACTCAATCTTATTTCATTGCAATGATTACAATCCCCTCCATGTGTCATCAGTTAACAGTATTTGCCTCTATTCCTTCTTTATATATATAAACACACACACACACACACACACACACACACAAAAAAACCCACGCAGGAATATATAATCATTTAACAACCAAAGGGCACATTTTGCACTAAAATTGCTCCCTGCCCATCAGCACAGTCTTTATCTTTTCATGGGTCTAGAGTCCTCAGATGCTCTATCTCTCCATCCCATCACCTCTGCTTCTGTCTCTAGTGTCACTACTTCTCTGTTTAGGATCCCATGCTCTGCTCATGCTCTTCCCTCTTGCTGGTCCTAGGGTCTTTTATTCCTGGAACATAAGATTAAGTACTTCCCCTTTTTTGTCACACAACTTATACCTTTACACTAGTGACAATCACAATTAGTCATAACAATTACTGACTCAAAAGAATCCTATCCCCGTCTCTTTTCAACAGAACCACTTAGACAAGATGAAAACTATTCACTGGGGAGTCTACTTTCTCCCATTTGCTCTGAAACTAAACTCCCTCTGGAAAACTTGTAAGCCACCCACTTCATGCCTTAACACCCACCCCCCCCCCCCCCCACTTTAGGTAGCCATATGTAAGTTGCCCATCCCTATCAACCCTGTGTACTGAGGGGATAGGTTTGATTCTTACTTCCTGTGTCAAATTTTTACTCTTCCACTAGTCAAGTTCTGATCATCAAGCCATCCAAGATAGGTCAAATGGGTATTATCTGAAAGTTTGGGTATTCTTGTGTACCTCTCCCCACTTCATACCAGCTGGACACTTCACTCTCAGTCTAGCCTCCAATGGCTAGGTCAGTGTCCATGGGCTCAGGGGTTCCCCAAGTCTCCCCAGACTTCGGACCAACCATTCCTTCCTCTTCTCTCTCATCTCAAGGTCAACAGGAGTCTATGGAGCATGGTTGAACTCAGCCAATATCTTCTTTACTGCCTTCCCCCACTTCCACTCACAAGCAGACCAACACGGTTACCAGTGAGCTTATAAACTTGCTTGTGTGCTCCCTTTGAGTTTTAGTCTTGGAAAGGGGTCCATAGTTTTTAAAAATAATATTTTATTATAGTTTGGTGAAAGTTTATACAGTAAATTAGGTTCCCATTTGACAATTTCTATATAAATAATTACATTTTCACAATATTCTCTTTGTGTTTTGGTTGTTCTGTTCCCAGTGTTCTTTGCTTTATTACCTTATGGTCTCACATAGATGATTTTTTAGTAGAGCACCATTGTTGTTGTTGTTATGTGCCGTGGAGTTGGTTCTGACTCACAGCAACCCTGTACAGGGTTTCCAAGGCTGTAAATTTTTATGGGAGCAGAAAGTCTCATCTTTCTCCTATGGAACAGCTGGTAGTTTCGAACTGCTGACCTTGCGGTTCACAGCCCGATTCGTAACCACTACATTACCCGAGCACCATACTTACAGTTAATAGTCTTTATTTTGCATACTATTCTGCTATTTCACTAAAAGGTGATCTTAGGGTATAGTTTTACTGAAAAGTATCTCAGGGAGTCCGCTGGTCTCAACTGGTCTACCAAGTTTGGTCTTTTAAGAATGTGAGTTTTATTCTATAAGTTTTCTCCCATTCTATGAAGGATCATCTATTGTGACCCTGGACACAACAGTCAGTAGTGTAGCTGGCCATCTTCTACCATCTCGTTCTTGTTGTCTCTTGGTGGATGACACCATGGCTTATGTAGACTATTAACCCTGTAGACTTGTGCCCTCTCTGGAATTTGGTTTTCTTCTACTTTTTTTGCTCCTGATGTGTAGAAAACAATAGTTGAATATTAGATGGCCACTTGCAAGCCTTTAAGACCTCAGATGCTACTTACTTCACTGGGATGCCGAACATGAACTTTATGAACTGTACTATGCCAACTGACTGAGTTGTTCCATTAGACTAAAGGTCCTAAGCTTTCAAATCTAGAAAAACAATCTCAAAAGGTCTTTGGATATGTCTGAGAAATATCCGTAATTGAATTTCTATATGTGCCTACACACATGTATCTGTACTTACACAAACTTATAGAGGCTTCTATTTGTGCACACACATAACAGTAAGTCAAAAAGTATTGTTATTACAGTTTCAGTTCATACAAGCATTAGTTTATTCCAAACAAACTGTGTCTAAGCATTTCTCTTCAATTAGTGGATGGCTGCAGACAAGTTTTCTCAGTAATGTATTTGTCCTTATCTCATTAGGTGCCTTCAAAAAAAGATCTAATTAAAATAGTGGCATCCAAGCCAGAGAGGTCAGCTCAGAAGATTATGGCAACTGTTTTTTGGGATATCAAGAGGGTAATCTTGGCAGATTTTCTTGAAGGACATAGGGAAATCATGGGTGTTTATTATTTAAAGTTTTTTTAAAAATTAAAAACTGCATTGGTGAGAAAAATGCCAGGAAACTTATACCAAGAAAAATGTTTTCATCATGACAATGCACCTGCTCATTGGCTGGGTAGATGAGGGTGGAGATTAGCCACACTTCTGGTCTCCAGGAGGGAGGTGTGGGGACCAAGGGAGGATCCCACCTTTCTTGTCATCAGTCACCAGTGTATATTTGTGTTGTCAGGCTACTGTCTTGATTGAAAGCTGTTTGCAAAAGTTCAAGATGGTCATGCTGTGTCAGGCTAACAGACAAACAGTTCACCCACTTATCTCCTTTCTCATCATCACTTTTGTTCAGCTTCTTCTCCTAGTTGATATTCATTCCACTTCTCTTTCCTTTTCTCTGAAACTTAAGAGTTCCAGGATTATCATTTGTACCTGTTTAATTTGGTTTCTCAAGTCTTTGTTGTCAGTAAACATTTATCCATCCATGTTATATGTATCAACAGTTCATTCCTTTTTATTGTTGGTGTGGCACTGTGGGTTAATGCACTGGACTGCAAAGTCAGTTTGACTCTCAAGGTCAGCCATTCAAGCTTACCAGCTGCTCGTAGGAAACCCTATACAGGCTCACCATGAGTAAAAAGTAGAACTAACTCAATGGCACTTAACAATAACAACAATTTTCTATTACATGGACACACCATAGTTTGTTTATTCATTCACACATTGAAGGACATTTTAATTGTGTCTAGTTTTTGGTAATTATATACAAAGGTACTAAAAATTTTGAGTACAGATATTTGTGTGAATATAAATTTTATATAGGGTAAATGTCTAGGAGTACAATTGCTGAGACAGAAGGCAAATTATATTTGCTTTTATAAGAGTCTTTCAAATTTTTCCAAAGTAGCTATATGCTATTTCATTTCCACCAGCAAAAGTCTCAGTTACTCTATATGCTTGCCCAGTATTTGGCATTGTCATTTTTTTGTTTTGTTTTTAATTTTACCCATTTTGATAAATATATAGTAGTGTCTCAGGCCAGGAAGGACAGATTGAAGAATGATGGTGTCGCATGCATCATCAAAAAGAGCATTTCAAGGTCTATCTTAAAGTACAATGTTGTCTGTGATAGGATAATATGCATACACCTACAAGGAAGATCAGTTAGTACCACTATTATTCAAATCTATGCACTATCCACTAAAGCTAATGATGAATAAATTGAAGAATTCTACCAACTTATTCAGTCTCAATTGATCAGACACATAAATCAATATGATCAACACATAATATCATCACAGTCAGGGGCCAACTGTGGAACAGACTACTAATTGCTCAAATGCAAGTTCTAGCTGAAGTGGAAAAAAAATGAAAACAGGTCAATGAGAGCCAAAATATAATCTTGTGTATATCTCTCCTGAATTTAGAGACCATCTCAAGAACAAATTTGATACATTAGACACTAATGATTGAAAAGTAGAGAAGCTGTAGAATGACATTAAGAACGTCATCCATGAAGAAAGTAACAGGTCATTAAAAAAAACAGGAAAGAAAAAAAAGACCAAAATGCCTATCAGAAGAGACTCTGAAACTTGTTCTTTAACGTAGAGAAGCTAAAGCAACTGGAAGAATGATGAAAAGAGCTGAACAAAAAATTTCAAAGGATAGCTCAAGAAGATAAAGTATTTTGCAAAGACCTGGAGTTAGAAAACCAAAAAGGAAGAAGAAGTTCAACATTTCTGAAACTGAAATAACTGATGAAAAAAATTCAAGCCTCGGACTTTGAAAACTGAAGGATTCTATGAGAAAAACATTCAACAATGCCGAATGCATCAAAAGAAGATGGAAGTAAAACACAGAGTTGTTATATCAAAAAGAATTGGTGAATTTTCAACCATTTCAAGAGATACCATATAATCCAGGACTCATGATATTGAGGAAGAAGTACAAGCTGCATTGAAAGCAATGATGAAAAACAAGGCTCCAGGAATCGATGAAGTACAAAATGAAATGTTTCAGCAAACTGATGAAGCAATGAAAAAAACATTCATCCATACCAAGAAATTTGGAAGACAACTACCGGGTCAACTGATTGGTCAACATATTTGTACCCATTCAAAGAAAGATGACCCAATGGAATACAGAAATCATGGAACACGATTATCATTAACATCACATGCAAGAACCCTAAGGTTTTTTTGTGGCTATGATTCCTTAACTTCAAATGTTCTTTCTGT